CAAACTGAATATAAAATTTGTTTTCTTTTCGTAACTTGGAATACCATCGATAATAGTAAGTAAAACAACAATTTTTTTTTTTGTAAGTTACATTGTTGTTTTCCAATTACTCAAATTATATAGTTGTCACATCTACATTTTTATACGTTAATTATTTCATTTTGCAAAATTTAATTCATCTGACAGCTTTAAACGTTATAGATTTTAACGTTTCCACATTGTTCTCAATTCTCGTCATTCTACTGTTTACTAGTATATGTTGCTCACAACTATTTATAACCTATAAAATAAGTCAAATGAGAGAAAACGTGTAAAACATTGTTGACTAAACTCAATGTTGGAAATGAAGTAATTATTGCTTATGTTAGAAGTGTGACACGATTTATCTATCTATCGGTAACACAAATCACATACTTCAAAAACATTTCCCAAAGTAAATTTTTAATTGTGATTGACATATTGATAAAATAGTAGAATGATGAATGGTACAAGTAGAGTTAAATAGAGTATACACTGTTTTTTTTTTTTTAATATAGAAACATGGTTTAGTTGTATTAGTTTCAAACTTTCAATGTATCTTGAAAAGCAATATAAGAAAATTTCTCACCATTATATATGTATATGTAGACAGTATGGTTGGTATTGGTAGGTGCAAGAAAGAGAGTATAAATGGGAAGAAGGTGTGATGTGAGGTGCACGTGCAAAGAGAATGTTTAAGTGTCTAATTTTCTCTTAGGTCGTTTAAAAAAATTTAAATTGTAAATATCTAGTTATTGTTAGAACTTCTCTTACAAACTTATTGAAATGCGAACATGAGATGTAAACGTCTGAAAACATAGCAATAGATTTGATATTGTTTAATCATAAATATCTAGAGTACTTTATGCTTATGGAAGAACACTTATAAACTTTTCCAAAAGGGGAAAACTTTTGGAAGTTTTTTAAATGAGATGGATGGGAGTATATTAAATTAAGTTCATTATTGGGATTGTTAGGGTAGGTTTAAATTAAGTGATAATAACCCAAAAGTATACTCAATTGGTAGGAAAAGAGTAGAGAAATAAATATTCTATTTTCTATTTCATTGAAAATACATGAAGTACACGTTTTCTCTTTTGTAAATTCAATCATATACATCAATTTGAAGTTTAAGTCTAGAACATGTTGATGCAACATTGCAACTTAAATCATCATCTGTCATAAACAGTAAATCGTTATGTATATAACAAAATTTCAAAAATAAATTTGATCATGCGATATATAATAAGGAAAGCAACAATATAACGATAACAAAATCAGTGTAGTCAAATTGTATTATGATGCTAGACTCTAGACAAAGATTAGTGATGTGGTCAAATAATTTTATTTTTATACAGAGAAAAAAGATTAAACAGATCAAATTAAAAGATTATTTTCGTTGTCTCAAAAGGTCCGATTACAAATGATTGTACAAAAACAAATTATGTAGTACGTATAACACCATCTAAGTATCGTATTCGTATAGTATATGTGTACGTATATACATTATATGTTTTTGTCTGAGGGAAGAGAGGCACAAGAATCGTGTTGACCGTTTCGTGTGGAGTTCTTTGGAACTTAACCAACCTTTCATGTACGTCGTGCTCCTTTTCTTCGCAACATTCTTCCCTCTTCTTTTCGTTACTTAATTTGTCAGATTTTATTTATATAGTTTCATGAAATTTTAAAGCATTTTCTACCTTCCAAACACTGATTCTCTTTATTTCCTAAACAATTCTTTAAAGTGTTGAGAAATTATACATAGTCATTAACCTCAGTATTGAAATCAGGTGTTCTCACAAGGCAACGTTCCAATACAACAAGAACTACCACAAGAGCAATTTAGCTTCTTGTTGTCTCCGTTCTTCTTGTCAGTGATATGGACATCTCCATAACTGAAACTTAACTCCTCCTCTGCAACTATGTCCCTTGCTGCAAAGAAACAGAGACGAGGAAGCAACGCTCCTGAGCTTCTCAACAGAACAGTGGAGAGATTTCCTCCGTCACAAGAATGGTTTATGAATCTAGCAACGTTCCCGATTCTTGTAGCGTCGATGTTTATCCTTAAACAAGCTTGTCCCGAAGGGAGGTGTTCGCGTATGACCAGAAGAGCTGAACTGAAGGATTGTGTTGATCTGAGTTTGTCGTAGATATTTTGACGTCTACGTGATTCATCTGTTGTCAATAGCTCACCTACAAGAAGAGAAAAGAAAAAAACGCAGCTTCTCAGTTTTGCGTAATCCCAATGTGAAGGCTCAAGTGATGTACCAATGGTCATTGGGACAGATCACAAAAACACATTCAAGAAAAAATATTTGCCTTCGATCTCCAAGTTCAGTACAATGATACCCTCAAAGCGATTGAAACAAGAACATATCAAAAGATCAAATCTTTCACTTATAAGACAATGCTAGAATCTCGTCCCAATGCACCGAACTAGATTTTCAAACTCCTATTAGTCCTATGCTTTAGAACTTAATGGCGAATATTGTTCGTCTAATCATATAATCTTGAACTTAACAACTTTCATCTTCAAATTCCAAGATGGATCTTCCAAAGTCAATAAACTTTTATTACAAAACGTAGCATTACACTATTCTGAAACCGAAATGGTTCTAGCATTGTGGGAGTAAGTAACGTTTCCTAATGCTAATGTTCCTCTAATCATGTAATCTTGAGCTTGATACTCAACATCCAAAATAAAGCATCCAACTATGAAAGTAAAGCAATCATTAAACTATCCGAAAAACGAAATGGTTCTTATCATTTTGAGGGTAATGTAATATTACCTGCGTATTCACAGACGAATTGGCCTTTCTTGATGAACTGATCAGCATACAAGCACCAACCTTTCTTCTCATCTCTAACGATCTTCAAACGAACTGAAATCCCCTTTTGTGTCACCCGATTCGGACAATCCGACCCGCAACCACAACCCGACCCACATTCGTTAGCTATCTCCTCCATGCCCTCGAGTACTAAGCACTGGCAATAACCTTCCTCGCACCTCTCGCACTCACATCCATACTCGTCCACTAGACTCACCCCAAATCGTCCTCGCTCACTCACTGACTCAAGATAAGGTCTTGACGACACGGGCACGGATTTCGAACCATCGTCATCTCCGGGAAGAGAAATTGACCTAATTCTACTCAGCGGATTCTCGTCAGCTCCGTTGGATCCACATTCATCAGTAGCAGATCCTTCCCAGCATTGCCGCGGGGGAGGAGAGGAAGCTGGGATCTGAAAAGGTGTGTAGACGAAATACGCGTATCGTTGGGAATCGACGGAGTTGAGAAACGGGATTGGGAGGTTTTCGAGGGATCGTGCAGCGTCGAGAGATCGCCGGAGAGTGATGGATTTCGAAATTAGGGATAAGGTTTTACAGGTTCGAGAGACGACGGCGAGTTCTTGAGGGTTTAGCCATGGGAGAATGAAGTTAGCACATCGGAGGAATTGATCGGTGGCCGGAATATTGAGTTGGGATTCTCCGAGACGACGCTTCTCCGGTGGTGACTGTTGTTGCATTTTCCAAACCTAATGATTTTTTTTGCATTGATTTGATTTACACATAGCGAATTAGCAAAACGACGTCGCTATGTAATTGTTTAACACAAATTAGAGGATGTTTTTACTTTTTACTAATCAAGTGAAAAAACTACAAACCTTTTTACTACTGGCTGGTAATCAAGTAAGCATATAAGTTAATATTGTTTCTCTGCCGGTAAACAAAAATTCTTAAAAACGTTAATAAAAAAAACAAAAATTCTTAATTATTACCTGGTTTAATAAATGTTTATTAATTTTTTTTCCTTTTAATAGAATTCTTTTAAGAAAACTAGTGAAATTTGTGTTTAACAGTAATACCAAAACGATAGTGTTCTATTGTTCCATTAACATATCTAACACATAAAAACAGATTATTGTTAAAAAAACAGATCAAATTATTTCTTTTTTGCAATTTGAAATTTTTAATAGATCTTGTTTTTCTTAAAACTTTAGTATTTTCATTTTTTTTATAATTAACATATTCAAATTATTCCAAGGAAAACAGTTTTTACAAATAACCGGCAAATAAAAACCAATTTTCGTTAAATCAATTATATTTATTACTACCGTCGGTGAGTCTATAATCCATATCCGACCGTTCGTATCCTCTCCGCGTTGAGGAATAAAGTCTCTTCATTTTCCCAGGAAAATCTCATCAGAAAATTTCAAAAGGCGACGAATTTCTGGAAATGCCATCGCCACCGACGACGACATCTCTCTCGGTGACACAAACCATAAACGGATCGCACAGCTTCACAATCAAAGGCTACTCTTTAGCCAAAGGAATCGGGATCGGAAAACACATCGCCAGCGACACTTTCACCGTCGGTGGTTACCAATGGGCAATCTATTTCTATCCCGACGGGAAGAATCCCGAGGATAATTCCGCTTATGTCTCCGTTTTCATTGCTTTGGCTAGCGATGGTACCGATGTTAGGGCTCTTTTCGAGCTTTCTTTGCTTGATCAGAGTGGGAAAGGGAAGCATAAGGTTCATAGCCACTTCGATCGTGCTCTTGAGAGCGGTCCTTATACACTCAAGTATCGTGGAAGCATGTGGTTTGTCTTCCTCAATTTTCTTAGCTCTTAGCTAGGGTTTTGGTTTTCGATTTTGGGGTCACTGGTTCTTGTTTCATCTTTTGGTTCAGATAGTGAAAGCCCATCACTTTTGTTTGGTTTGATATAGGCTAAAGTTTAAATTTTTGAATGGAAATTGGAATCTTGGGATAGAAAAAGGGAGTAGATTGTTGAAGACAATGAATATGTGAATTCGCTAAAAAAAAGGATGAAATAGATTGGGAAATTCAGAGAAAATTGAGATACATTGGCCTGTATATGAAGTTGAATGATGAGTGGGGAGAGCTTTAAGAAGTGAGAAGATAAACAAAGTTCTTTTCTTTGTGAGAGGAGTGTTGGTGATGGAGGCTGTTTAGATTATTCTGTTGTTCACTTTAAGTTTGTGACCTATGGAAAGAGAGAGGAGTTGAAGTAGGAGATGCAAATTTATAAAAATATGTAGATTCTTTGACCTGTTCTTGATGTTCTGAAACCAGTTTGCCTGAACTCTCCAGAAAACAGAGTTTAGTTCTTGCTGCTTCAGCAGCTTGTAGCGTTGGTGCTGAATTTAAGGAATATTGATAGGGATTTTTTAAACTCATATCCATCCTTTGCTTGAAAATTAAGATGCGCTCACATGTTGGCATAGGCACCAATACTTTGAAATGGTAGGCTAATTTGAAGTTGGATCATTGCTTGCTGTTTACATGCATATAGCAGTACAATTGCCGGCTTTACTGCCGTTGTGAATCTGTTCATGGTTAGGTTTATATTGCCACTTGTATGAGTTAAGGCATTGTAGTATTGTCTTCTGCACTCAATTTGAAGGTGACACCTTTCGTTTTCCTACTTTTAAGTATCTGTTTTTAGGTCTGCCTGTTGTGGGTATTCATATTGACTCTGCTTAGATAGACCCCAAATTGTTAAGTGCTTGTTAACGCAGAGGAATCATTCCCTTAATAGAGTTTTGTCTTCCCTGTTTACCTCGGCAGATTCTTATTCGGCTTTATTTGATTACAGGGGCTACAAACGCTTTTTTAGAAGGCTTATGCTGGAAACATCTGATTTTCTCAAGGATGATTGTTTGAAAATTAATTGCACCGTTGGAGTTGTGGTCTCAGAAATAGATTGTCCACGGTTACATTCTATTCATGTCCCTGCATCTGATATTGGATCTCATTTCGGGATGCTTTTGGAGAATGAAGACGGTTCAGATATAACTTTTAATGTCTCAGGTGAAAAGTTCCGTGCTCACAGGCTGGTATTGGCTGCTCGATCTCCCGTCTTTGAAAGCGAGTTTCTTGATGTTACTGGAGAAGAAGATTGTGATATCGAAGTTACTGACATGGAACCTAAGGTTTTCAAGGCTTTGCTCCACTACATATACAAGGATGCTCTCATCGAAGATGCAGAGTCAGCTTCATCGTCCGGTTCATCTGTTGGTCCTTCTGCCTCAGATTCATTAGCTGCAAAGCTGCTAGGAGCCGCTGATAAATACAAGTTGCCTAGACTCAGCTTAATGTGCGAGTCAGTACTCTGCAAGGATATATCCATAGAGTCAGTTGCAAATATTTTGGCGCTTGCTGACCGCCACAATGCTTCAGCCTTGAAATCTGTTTGTCTGAAATTCGCAGCAGAAAATCTCATTGGTAATAATGATCTTCCTGTGTCTCATAACTGAAGTTGATTCTGACACCAAACTTTAAATTGCGTAACCTTTTGTTTGGATGCAGCTGTTATGAGGTCAGAAGGGTTTGACTATCTAAGGGAACACTGTCCATCACTTCAGTCTGAGCTTCTGAAAACAGTTGCGGGATGCGAAGAGGAGTTCAGCGGAGGAGGAGGAGGGAAGACGAGAAGCGTGTGGGGCCAATTCTCAGACGGTGGAACCGACACAAATGAGAGAAGTGGAAGGCAACAACAGGCATGGGGAGAGATAAATGGGGGAGGAGCAGAGAGAAGCCAGAGTGTTTGGGTCCAAGTCGTGAACGCTAATGCAAGCGGTAGAAACAATAATGACAACAACAATAACAGTGATGATCCCATGGCAGAAGATTGAGCAAATAAAGAGCGAAAGGAGAATCCAAGTAAGCTGAAGTAGGATCAAACAAGTGTGTTCTTTTGATGCTGATATCTTAGTGTTTCCACGGTCAAATGCTGTGGCTGAACATAGGAGACGGTTTATTGTTGTTGTTGTGTTACATTTTTGTGTGTAATAATCGGAGTCACTATGATATAAAACTAAACACTCATCATCAATATAAAAACTTCACTATATGTTTTGTTTTGTAGAGATGAAACCAGTGCCCTCTCTCCTTGAAATGTAATTTGGTTTGTATACACACTCAATTCCATCTTTGGCAAAATAGTAAAGTAACATTAACAAAATGTAAAGTTTTCCAATTTGAGGATAAAGTTAACCCAGTGATATCCAAAAATTTGAGGATAAAATTTTATATCCCAGAGAAAAGAGTGAAATTACATGAGAAATAGTGGGAACTAATAATAAATACTCCATAAATGTAATATTTTGACATATACTTTTTTTTTTTTGGTGATCATTTACATGGGTAAAGGAGAATCCCCTCTTTGTCATTAGGGCTTTGACCTAAAAACGGAGAAGCCTACTGAAGGGTTTGACTATCTAAGGGAACACTGTCCATCAAGGTGACCGTGACATAGAAGGAACAAAAAGGTTTGGCCTACAAAACATGATTTGATTAGGGTTTTTCGTTCTTTTACAATTTGCTTTCTTCATTTATGTGGTCATCGTATCTGTGGAAACAAAACATGATCCGATTAGGGTTTTTCATTTTCTTTCCAGAGTCGGTGTCTTTTTTTTTGGGATAAATTATTTCTTTCTTTAACGAAATTAGTCTGCCTCTCTCGAGGCTTGAATAGTAAAACTAAATTATGTTTGATTTTTTTTTTTTGTGTCCGATCTTCAGTATGAGAAGTATCAACGAGTTACATGACGACTTACTAGTGAAAATTTTGTCATTTGTTCCGGCAAAAGAAGTTGTGGCAACAAGTGCTTTGTCGAAACGATGGTATTGTCTATGGAAACAGCTTGATGATGTCATTGATTATGTTGAGCTTTGTGGTAAATGCTCTTTAAGGTGGATACGTCCTTTAATATTCCATTCCCCTAAATATCGGTCTGATTCGTGGCGACTCGGTCTGGGCGAGCAACCGAACTTTGTTAGTATGATTTCGAGACTGAAAGCTAATGCGTGTGTTGGTTGCAAAGGAAGAATACATGCTGAGAAAGAGGTCACCATGATAATCATACTTGATGCAAAGTACATGAAGAAACAAGCTGTTATATGGACCAAGTTGGAAGAAAAACAAGAGATGCTGATTGAGTTAGTTATCACGCGTGAGACTATCTTGAACTATCGCATTTCAGTTACCTAAGTTTTGTCTTGTTGATATGCTCTTTGTTGTTTCTTTCCTCATAGATAAACTAGCAACAAGGCTATGAATTTTGCTTTTGGTTCTCTCTCCTTTTGCACCCGTCATACATCTTTGCCACGGTTTGTTTTGACTAGTGTCGATCAAGGAGATTAGAAGTCATAACACCAAACATCATAAATTACCAAAGACGATTTTGAAACAATCATGAAAGGAAACCTAGATTTGGTTTGCTAGGCTTATTATTTGGTTATCCACTCTAGATTTTTATGGCAGGCTATTTATATGACTTAGATATGATAACACATAGAGAGACAATGTAGAAAGTACAAACAAATATAAATGCAGAAAATTGCATATATTTTAGTAATGATACGGTTCGTAGATACAATGGGGACTAATCTACGCAAGGATGATAACGGTATTTGCGTCTACAATATTCAAACTTTATAATAAAGTCCAAGTGTTTGAACATCTTTCTGATTCACCTTTGAAGGATGCTCGTTGGTTTTTCCCAACTTTTGGTGGGAAATGGTTACTTTAAAACCTATCAAGTTATCATTTGGTAATTTAGTGGATTGTTTTTTTTTCATTTTAATTGTGGAACAAGAGTTTTGCTAGTTTTTTTTTTTTATATATATTCAAGTGTTTCGAATCAAAAAAGGTTTAAAATCCCTACTCAAACATCTCTATAAGATTTATAGAATATAAATTTTACATTTCCAAAATGAAACATCGTGTGAGTGATTGTGTTCACTTCTCTACTTCAATGAAATATGACATGTATTTTCATTTGTCCATTCTTGAGGGTTAAACTGGAATTGGCCGAAGTTAATGTTTTTTTTTATATAATTAAAATGCCTATCATCAACACCTTATGTTACCACGTAATTATGTTTACCAAAATCTACTAAAACAATCTATGATCAAAATGATAAACTTTATTTATATTTTGTTTTTGTTGATAAAATGGTAAATGTTGTGTATGTGTGTGTGAGAGAGATTTTAGAAAATAATTTTATCCTCCTTGTTTAGCTAGATATAATTTTTTGCCACACTATGATAACTATATTTCTGTTCAATCATTTCATAATTAAGATTCAGTTTTAGGAAAGGAACCTGCTAATATTTAATTTGAGATATAGATTACAAAATTTTGGAAGAAAAAAAAAGATAAAGAGTTAAGATAAATTTCTTAGCACCATATCATAATGTTTGGCACTACATATCATAGCTATATATCTCTTCAATCCTTCAATAAATTAAGATTCAATTGAAACAAGAGAATCATGACAAATTTCATAGGTTAATAAACTCATCAATCAGGAATTAATATCATAACAACAAATTAGTTGTGTATCGAAACAAACAAATCACAAAAAGTCACCTAACCTTTTTAAAGAATCTAACACCAACAAGAATCTTGATTTCCCCCAAAAGTTAGAATCGTGCACGCTTCTCTAAGTATCTCCGGCTCCGATACCTTATCTGGATTTAGAGATCTTTCAAAGAGAGAAAAGATTGAATCTTTGTTGGGATTTCTCTCATGGGTTCGCTCTGAATCGATTGGAAAACTCAAAATCAAATCCTTTGTGGAGTCTTTTTGTTGTCATCTGTTGCGTTGGTTGATATGAACAGTCTTGTAAGAAGGAAACAAGTTGACTCTGTTCATCTGATAAACAACGATGCAAATCATCAGCTTGCTAAGAAATTAACCGCAGTTGATCTTGTCGCTATTGGTATGAGAAAAAAGATTCAAACTTTTTCCAATTTTTGTTGATAAAGTCGATCAATTTCTACGTTTTTGATTGTGTTCCTGTTTGATTTTTTCAGGAGTTGGGACAACAATTGGAGCAGGAGTGTATATACTTGTGGGAACAGTAGCTAGAGAACACACAGGACCTGCTCTTGCTGTATCTTTCTTCATTGCTGGAGTAGCAGCTGCTCTCTCTGCTTGTTGTTATGCTGAGCTTGCTTCTCGATGTCCTTCTGCTGGGAGTGCTTATCATTATGCGTACATATGTCTTGGAGAAGGGTAAATAGATGGATTCTAATGTTAAAATCACTGAAACATTTGCCTATAAAGCTGATGCTTTTGATGTTCTTGTGTCCTAGGATTGCTTGGTTGGTTGGTTGGGCACTGGTGTTGGATTATACAATTGGTGGATCAGCTATTGCTCGTGGGATAACTCCAAATCTGGTATTTATTTCCCTTTGAGTAGTTATATGTATTTCTGGTTTCTTGTCGGTTTAATTCTGACTGGTGTTTTTCTGTTTGTTTTTAGGCATCTTTTTTTGGAGGTTTGGACAAACTGCCTGTGTTCTTAGCTCGACAAACCATACCCGGACTTGGTGTTGTGGTTGATCCATGTGCAGCACTGTTGATTATGATTGTCACAGTACTCCTATGCTTTGGGATAAAGGAGGTACTTCATTGAAATTTTTTAAAATGCAATTTATTTCAGGATGATTAGTCGTGTAACAGTGTTAGTGCCGGTTTATCTTTTGTCTTCACAGAGTTCATTAGTACAAGCAATTGTAACATCAGTGAATGTGTGCACCTTGGTTTTCATCATAGTAGTTGGTGGATATCTAGCTTGCAAGACTGGATGGGTTGGATACGATCTTCCGAGTGGGTAATTAACCTATTCTTCTTCTTCTTCCATTGAGCTTAGTTTTATGTCATGGAAGAATGTCAATATCTAATTCTTGTCTTTACAGGTATTTTCCTTTTGGATTAAATGGAATACTCGCCGGATCTGCTGTAGTATTCTTCTCATACATTGGATTTGATACTGTGACTAGCACGGCTGAGGAGGTACACATATTATTGAGTAATACTTAGATACTTCTCAAATAATCATCCTTGTTTATTCTCCTCAGAGGACTCACTTTGATGATTCTGTATTGAACAAGTAATAGAAGAGGACCTTTTATCTTAGTAGTATCGTCAACTCTTTCTTCCACAATTCTGCCAACTTTCTTAGTTAAACTCTTAAACTCTTGGTATTGCCACAACAGGTTAAAAATCCTCAAAGAGATCTTCCACTCGGCATTGGGATCGCGTTACTGATATGCTGCATTCTGTATATGCTTTTATCAGTAGTTATTGTTGGATTAGTCCCATACTATTCATTGAATCCTGATACTCCTATCTCCTCTGCATTTGGAGACAGTGGGATGCAATGGGCAGCGTAAGCATGATGATACATCTCTTGAGACTCTAATATCTCTCGATTTCATGAGTGAACTATATATATACACACATACTTCCTTTTGTCTCTGATTTGTTTTCTCTTATTATACCTATATATTTCAGGTACATCTTAACCACTGGGGCAATAACTGCTCTGTGTGCAAGTTTGTTGGGTTCGCTTCTGGCTCAGGTACTAACCATTTCTTATTTTTTTGAAAATTTAAGTTCAGTAGTAATTGAAATTTCTTAGTTGTGAAAGTAGCTCAATGCTAGGTTTTGTGTGGGTTATGGAAATGCACACATGTCATTTTGACAGTACTTTGTGATTTCTTTTACTAGCCACGAATCTTCATGGCAATGGCTAGGGACGGATTGCTGCCGGCTTTCTTTGCAGAAATTAGCCCACGAACTCAAGTACCGGTGAAAAACACAATTGTAATTGGTGTGCTGGCTGCTACATTGGCATTTTTCATGGACGTTTCACAGTTGTCGGAGATGGTAAGATGGTCTTTGCCTACATTATATGTGTCAATGTCCTATGGAAGGATTTTCACCTATAATTAGTGGCAAACAGAAAATAGATGTTTCATTGATTAGTATATTATTGATATTGTTGTGGCAATTGGCGTTATATAATTGAGTTGAGACGGATTGAAACTCACTTCTGTTACGGTAAAAGATCCTTCTCTGTGTTGCTCACATTGGTGTTCATTCAACAGGTTAGTGTAGGCACTCTGATGGCGTTCACTGCGGTAGCAGTTTGTGTGTTAGTTCTCAGATATGTACCACCAGATGGAGTTCCCCTACCATCTTCCTCTAAAACTTGGACTGATACCGATGAAAGTAGAGCCGAAACTGAAGATTTTCTTGTGGATGCTATAGAATCTTCTGATTCCCCTCTACTTGGCGATGAAAGAGCTCGAGGTACTAAAATGTGCTCAACCACCTAGTTACCGCTTGTATATGCTATTAAGATGTCTGTGTACTGGTAGATGATATGCCCTACTATTCAATCTTTACTGCCTCTCATCTGCATTTAAGTAATTTAATTTTGTTAGTTCTTTTTGATTGAACAGATGAAAAGTATTTCGGAAAGAGAAGAAAAATTGCTGCCTGGAGTATAGCTCTTGTGTGCATAGGTGTCCTAGGCCTTGCTTCCTCAGCTTCTGCTGAGCGTCTTCCAAGGTCAGTTCATCATCTGATATCCTATGTCTGTACCACCTATCGTGCATATATATTTTCGCACTAATTTGGTTGAGGTACTTGTGTGTCAAAAGAGATTTAAGCTCGTCAATTAGAAATGCATGCCTGTTTCGGAATTTTGTGAAGCCTTTTTCAACCGCTATGTTGGAAGATTTAAGTTTTTATCTTTGTAACGGTTATATCCTCTAATGGGTTCTCTTCTTGACCTTGACAGTTTTCCTCGGTTCACTATATGTGGTGTCAGTGCAGCCATCTTATTTGGGAGTTTGATTACTCTTGGTTGCATCGATGAGGATGACGAACGACACAACTTTGGACACCAAGGAGGTAAGGCCTGAGGCTTATGCCTCTTGTTGCCTAACCTTACAGCACGAAATGTAGAAAGTTAATTAAATTTTGACCATACATAAGATGCTCCAAGCCATCATTGACCTTTGGATGGTATCACCATACTTTCTTCAATGATGCTGCTTGCTTAAGAGTTTCTATACATATGCTGAGTTCCTTAGATTTATGCTCGAATGAAATTTACTCACCAACATTCTATATTTGATCATGTTTCAGGGTTTCTCTGTCCATTTGTCCCATATCTTCCTGTTCTCTGCATTTTGATCAATACCTACTTGATCATCAACATTGGGTGAGTGATTGTGATGGACCCATGTATGACTCTAAATATTGTTGGAATGTTTCTAAAATAGTGCGGTATTTGTAATGGCAGAGCTGGGACATGGATCAGGGTCATGATATGGTTACTTCTTGGAAGCATGATTTATCTGTTCTATGGCCGATCACATAGCTTACTGAACAATGCGGGTTACGTCCCAACGACTACTTGTACAGGGAAAACAACAGATCATATTGCTTGAGATCGGTGGTTCAACGAAGCAAAGCTGAAGGTGCTCGAGTTCAACCTTTGTTCTTGCTGAAGTAGCATTTAGAGAGAGTTAAACAGAAGCACWGATCAATATATACAAAAAGATTCATGTACATTCCAATTCCTTATATCAAAATGTACATTTCTTAGATGCCAATTTCATTATTTTCAATTTCCAATTATATCTTTGCCAGTTTGGACTAAATGATCTTAGAACTCTTTAAAATGCCAAATCCATTTCCTTACTCGAAACCTTGAACAAAAATGGAGAAACTTTGACAAGATGCAGAGAAAAGTGTAAAAGATGTAGACATACAGATTAAAACATTGGACAAAAAATCATCTAAATATATATGATGTAGTCGATAACATTCATATTATCATATATAAAATAACCTAAGTGGGCTATAGAAGGGACTAAGGAGTTTGCAAGAGAGACAACAGAAAGAAAGGAATTAATGTCTGAGAATCTCCCAACATATGTTGTCTTCAAAATGTTATTCTCCACACCAGACTTGCCAACATATCTTAAGTCGCACCTGTGCTTCTGTTGGAAGAAACTCTCCTCCTTCCGTAATGAGTCTTCACAAGAAACAGATATGAACACTGATCCTGTTTGCATTCCCTAGCTGATTGTAGCTTCACCGTTGACTAAACTGCTTCTCTCTTCTTCGTTGCTATTGCTTTTCGTTGGCTTGTCACCACCGGATGTTCTCCTGACATCTTTTTTCTTTAGGACAAGTTCATCTCCAGATGCAACTTTTGATGCTCCTGTAGATGCACGGTCCTTCGATGAAGGATTTACATATTTCCTTGGTGAACCCTTGTCTTTGGTAGAATCACCCGTCGAGGGTGGTTTTTGACTGTCTTTGTCCGTTTCTGATTCGGGAAGTAAAGCCCGTACACTAAGCCGAAGCTGACCCTTTTCATTCACCTGCATTATCCATGTTTCTTTGTTTAACAACTCATCTAATTATCATTTCCAATTAGTTATAGCATCTCTATGAGTTACGAGACGCAAGAACTTGCTGACCTCTATTAGTTTGACGTCAATGCGGTCTCCAACTTTATAGGCCTGAACAGAGAAGGTAATGTGGATGAGCACATGCGAAACAGTGAAAGCCTTAATAAAAGATGAATAGAGGAAGGGAATCAATGGGTGATGCTCACATCTTCGGGTTTTGCAAGCCATTCAGCACTCAGCTCACTGATATGGCAAAGTCCCTCACGTCCAGGTGCAATCTCTACAAAGGCACCATAAGGAGCCATTGATTTGATTTCACAATTCCTGATAAGAAAGAAAGGTCAGAATCCAAATCCATTTATGCTTCTTGGTCAGAGAAGGTATATGAAGGATACATACCTGTAGATATCACCAACAGAAGGAACCATTGTCAACCCACTGATAATCGATTTTGCCCTTTCCAGACTCGCCACATCGTTTGCCATAATTTTGACCTTGACAAAAGTAAATGTTAAAAGGTTATATGATGATGAACAACCATAATGTACACCTTAAGAAAAATGTTAAAAAGAAAAAAAAAAAATCTGTAAATCTCACTGTTCCATCATCTTGCATATCGATGGCCTCAACTCCAGATTCTTCAATAATGCTCTTTACTTTCTTCCCACCAGAGCCAATAAGAAAGTATACTTTGCTTGGATGGACCTGCAGCACATGAAATCCCAACAATCTTTAGCTCAAAGCAATAAGGCGTTGGACTGGTTAATTTTGGGGAAATGAGTTGAAGTCCAACCTTCATAACATGTATCAATGGAGCGTATTTTGAGAGACTCAGCATAGGAGGCGGTGAGCTCTTCGCCATTTCGGCTGCACGGAAGAATAAAAATCATGAATTGCATCTTACACGGTTCCATGAATATCCCACTATTTAGAAACTGAATCTCCCACAAGTCTAGTTATCGAGACGAGTAGTCCATGAATATCTCAGAATCCCTTACCAAGTATATGGCGACGCCCAGCTTTTGCCTGTATCAGAGCCTTTTCCATAATTTCCAAAGTGATTCCTCCTACCTAGTTCATGATTAAAGGGAAGTAAAAGACCACAAGATGTTACCAACAGATTTCTCTATTGCATATATAACCATTTCGGCAATGTAAAGCAAGAAAAAGATGATAACCTTAATGTCCATCTGAAATGCAGTAACACCATCTTCATTCCCAGCAACCTATTGATAAAAAGATCAAAACGTCAGCATTCAAGTCAATGCAAGGACTTTGAAGGAGGATCCTTATATTAATGACCTTAAAGTCCATATCGCCGGATGCATCTTCAGCTCCGGTAATGTCAGAAAGGATAAGGGGAGATCCATCACCGCCAAATTCTTTGGTATCCCAAACCATTCCCATTGCTATGCCAGCAACAGAGCATTTGACTGGAACTCCAGCATCTTGCAAAGCCAAGCAACCACCGCAAACAGATGCCATGCTGTTACATTTTCAGATCAACATAAGACACAACACACAAAATTTGTCATTCAAACAAACTTGGCAAATGCAAATCCTATAACCAAAAAGAAAGAAAAAAAAAAACTGACCTTGAAGAACCATTGCTTTCAGTTATTGTACTTTCAACACGTATTGTGTAAGGAAAATCACCATCATTAGGTAATATGGTCTCTAAGGCTCGCTCTGCTAGTGTACCATGGCCTACTTCTCTTCTACTGGGTGCTCCAATTCGTCCAACTTCACCAACAGACGATGGAGGAAAAGTGTACTGAAACATCAAAAGGAGTAGCTTAGAAAATCTCCCTAAGCTCAACACGAAAATGAAAGAGCAGACAAAACATTGAATTTCCTGAATATTTCAGTTAGATGCTATAAATGGTGTAAACAAAACCCTTCAGAGTAATCTGTAAATAATGATAATGGAGGAAGAGCAGATATTCAAGAGACCTGAAGATAGAACCTCTTGTATTCATCAGAACCCTCAAGGTTGTCAATTCTCTGAGCCATTTGTTTATCACCAAGAGTAACAACTGCCAGTGCCTGAAAGAATCATACAATAGTGTTCATTATCCAAAGCACGAGAATAACCAACTTCCTTAACATACATTAAAGGCGATTAGACATCAATCCTCTGTTACCTGTGTTTCACCACGTGTGAAAAGGGAACTGCCATGTGCCCTTGGAAGCAATCCACATCTTGAGTTAATTGGACGAATCCCATCCAGAGTTCGACCATCACTTCTTTTACCACCCT